CCAGGGGCTGGGGAGAGGAAGGAATGGAGAGTGAGTGTTTAATGGGTATGAGTTTCAGATGAAGAATTCTGGAGATAGACAGTGGTGATGGTTGCACAACAATGTGAGTATATTTAATACCACTGAACTGTACACTTAAAAATACTTAAGACAGTAAATGTCATGTTATGTATATTTTACCACAATAAAAGAATTGAAAAAAAAATTTGTAAATTTTTGGGAGAGCCAAGGATGCTAATCAAGACACAGATACATAGAGATAAGGCACCTAGAGAAATACTGCAAAAAAATGAAAATACAAGCAATGTCTAATTTTTAAAACAAATTATCTTGCCAAGGTATATTTGTAAGATGATTATCAAATTGGAGCACATTTCCCCGTCTGACCTATAACGTACCTGATGTCCAACAGCCCTGTAAAACACATGTCTATGGAGAGGTGTCACAACTAAAATAAAGCTCTTCCCTCTGAGGGGAGGGCTTGGTGCTCCAGGGAGGCAAGTGAGAAATGATGGGGAAGGGTTGGGAGAGGTAGAAGGGATGGTGATTCTTCTCAAAGGAAGAAGTACAATCCTGAAAGCAGCAAAGAACTGCTCACATTCAGCACAAGCGTATATATTACGTGTATGTATAAGTAGCACACAGAAAGTCAGTCTTCTTACTAAATTTCACTAATTTTAAGAGGGCTTAAAAATAATAATCATCGAGTTGCTTTGCAATTTAATTAAACTACCATTGTAAAAACTACCTAAATCTATGAAGATTCAGGAACTTACTAGGCTCCACCATCATAAACTGCACAATAAAGCAGGTAAAAAATAAGAATAAAAACCTAGAAATTTTCCTAAATCAAAATAATTACTTGTCATAAAAAATCCTGATGGTGAAAAGCAATACTTGAAGTTCAAAAGCAATTTAAGTAATCCAGAAAGGTTAACAGTACAATAAATGACTCTCATTCTATAACTGAAAACGGTTCAGCTGTAGACATGCCAAGCAGCCCACCACATGTGCTTTACCTGCCGGGTTCTTCTCCTGACCCAGGGGAAAGGGTGATGAAAAAATGCCACTCTGCTTGTCTACACAGTCACTACAAATCAAAGCTCTGATAAGGCCTATAGTTTTTAACACATTGTCCTTCAGTAGTAATACAAGGATAATTCCATATTTTTTCTAGAAACAAAATGGGATTTCAAAACACTCTCCTGAAACTAAATATTTTCCCTTCCCTGAGATTTATAGTAAGAATGGTCACTGCATTGGGAAAATAAAAATATGGTCTATAATGGTGAACTATTTAAATAATAAGTATATTTCCTCCATAGTCATTATTCCCTGCTAAAAGAAAAGGAGTTCAATAATAAACAATAGACACTCCTTGAATGCTGTGCAGGAAAAAAGGAAAGATAAAACCAGAGACCAAGGCTGGGTCCACGTGTGTTTCTTATATTCCTTTGATTATACTGACCCCTGGTGGCCCTTGAAGGACTCTTTTTTTTTTTTTTTTTT